ATTCTCCATGTTTTATTGCAGAAATCCCTCTGATCTTCTTCCAGTTTTTATCTGTGTCCTCATACTCATGAAGGCGAACTACCACATCTCTAGGAGTTTCTGATGCATTCTTGTGGTCTTCTAATCATATATACTCTGTCTATCTTCAATTGGTCTGCCTCCGGTCTACATATCAGGGGTTTAATACTTTTCTTATTTCATCTGCCAGATCTTCCCCATTAGAGACCTCTGGTAGGCCACGGATTCTCAAATTATTCCTCTTCTCTCTGTTCTCTCGATCTTCCATCCTATATAATAACTTCCTTTTCGACTTTCTTCTATCAGCTCTTCCAGTTTAACAATTACTTGTGCATGTTTTTCTATTTTTTCTTCAGTTTCCTCTACTCGTGTGAGAATCTGTCCCAAATCATTATGTAGTTCCGTCAGTTAATTTTTTATAGAGTATTCCAATTTCGCTCACATTTCGGCAGTTTCCGTTTTCGTAGGCATTTGCGCGTCTACTCCTTGTTCTATATTTTCCACTTCCACTTCACTTTCCATATTCAGAGATTCTTTAGTCTGATTCAAACTCATCATTCCTGATGCCCTCCTGGACTGATCTCCTTTATGAATTCCCCAGTCATATCCTCCTTTTGCTCCTTGTTGTCTTTCTGGAGTTACACCCTCTGGGCTTTTCTCCTGTAGGAGCATGTATTTTTTAATAGTGCTTGTACTTATTTGGGGTGTTTTTGTTCCCCACCTTTCACCGATCTATTCTTCATTATGACAAATTTTGAGTTGCTTAATTTACCACTCAAGGAAATGAACTGTTTCCGCCGACACTGAGAATTAGACTTTATACTTCACGGCTCGGCACTATGCCTTCCTCTTCTCCTTTCTCACTGGCTCCACTGGGTGACTCCTAGTTTTTATCACCTCTCTCATTAACCACCATACACAGTTTCAATTTAAGTCCACCAAAACTTTCCCCAGGGGGGGGGGGTTTTAGAGATGTGAAGTCAACAAAATGCCATACATTATAAGAAAAGATAACACAGTCTATTAAGATTCACCACTGCTTCTGTCACTCACCCCCTCCGACAGTCTCCTTACGGAGGATTAGCTTGCAGACTTCAGCTGGTAATCCCTTTATCGACTCTTGTGTTAGGGTGGCTGCACCTGTAGAGGGGTCACCCTCCTTTGGCTGTCGCTGCTCTGCGCCGGCTCTTCTCTTCCTCTCCCGTGTCAGTGTCTCAGCTGGTTCGTCTGAGTATACCACCGCCCAGGGAGGGGCTGACAACTCATGGGGAACCCGGGCAATAAGAGATCATGGGGCCCCTGTGTCCTTACTCACACTCAAACCACACCCAAAATAGCCTATGAAAGGTACCAGGGGCATCTCATGGGACCCCCTACTGACCCTGGGCCTTCAGGGAGTGCCCGAGTGCCCAAATGGTCAGTCCAACCCTGCTGCTGCCTGCACATGAGCGCTCCTCCAACCAGCGTGTGCTCGCTCTCCCTAGCAGGGATACTCCTCAGCTACCTCTGGCTCCTCCCTCCCAAGGAGTCACTGCCGAACCCCAGGGGCAGGTAAGGTGGGTGAGCGGATAAGGTGAGTGGGCGAGCGGGGCAGGGGGGTGTTGCTATCGCTCAAACCACGCTCGCTTAGCTCTGCGCCCTTACTTTCTTCAGCGGGGATCAGGAGCACCTAGCCTGTGCGTCCTGTCAGCACCATGCTCCGGGCTTGGGCCTGGTATGTCCTGAGCTAAAAGAGGAAAGGATGCGTGGAGAGTAAACTGAGCTTGAGGGGTGGGATTGGAAAGAAGCTGACCACCAGTCACCAGAGGAACCCAGTTCAGATGACGTAGAGGTAAGTATTTTAATACTTTCAGTATGTTAGGGAAAGTTTGCAAGATGTTTTTGCTGAACATGCCTGGCTTTATATTAGGTTGAATTGTGAAGGGAGCTAAGAAGCAGATATACAAATATATATATTTTTTTCATTTTTATGAAATCCCACTGCTTTGCTTTTCATGTTAAGACCAATGCTTGGTGCAGCTTGAATATTTCCTCCTATTCAGATGTGCTGTACTTTAGATTTTCTGGGGGATAATTTAATTTGAAGACAGCATACATTTGTCTTGATGAATGAAATGTATTGCAGAAATTTGCTGATACTCTGTTTATATTTGCGGTATTTGCATTATGCTGGGGGTTATCATTGCTGTTGGGTATTATTGTTAGAGTTTATTATTGGGGGAGGGGAGGGTTAACCATTGATGGCCCTGACACTTGCTGGAGGCTTTTTTTTTATTGCTGGGGTTATTGGTGCTGGGGGTTATTGTTGTTAGGTATAATTGCTGAGGTCTATTGCTGCTGGTGGTTATTACTGTCCCTGACACTTGCTGGGGGTTATTATAGCTAAGGGCTATTGTTGCTGAGGGTTAATATAGTTTAGGGTTATTGTTGCAGGGGGTTATTGCTGCAGGTTATTTTTGCTGGTGGTAATTGCTGACGCTAATACTTGCTGGGGTTATCATTGCTGTCATGACACTTGCTGGGGTTTATCACTACTGCCCCCGATACTTGCTGGAGGTTTTCATTGATACCCCACACACTTGCTGGGGGTATTATTGCTAAGGGGTATTGTTGCTGGGGGTTATTGATGGTCCTGACTCATGCTGGCCTTGACACTTTTTGGAGGTTGTTATTATTGCTGAAGGTTATGGTTGCTGATGTTATTTGCTTGTGGGTATAATTGCAAAGGGGCATGATTATTGCTGGAAGTGATTGCTGGTACTTCAATTTGCTGAGGGTTCTTGCTAGCCTGGACACAAGCTGAGGGTTATCATTGGTGGAGCTGACACTTACTGGGGGTATTATTACTGGTGGTTCATTTTTCTGGTGGTTGTTGCTGGGGGTTATCCTTGATGGCCCTGACACTTGCTGGTGCTTATTGCTGACCCTGACAAATGCTCAGTGTTAGAGGGTTATTATTGCTGTCACTGGCATCAAGAATGGAGTTTATTTTACTCACACAATCTCTTCAGTATACCCCCAGGCCCTATTTTTTTTCTTAACGATGGCAATGCAAAGGGGAAAAGGTGGCACACACACACAACAAGCCATACAACTTGAAGCAACATCAATTTTTTTTGCCAGGCCCACAAGTGCACTTCATTTTTCTTTTTAATCCCTTAAAGGCACATGGCAGGCTGCCTACATAGTGCACTCTATTTTGATTCTCACCCCCTTAAAGGTGTTGCTCCTAACTCTTCAAATGTTGGCAACTCTCATTTATTTTTATGGTCACTGACACCAATTACAGAACTGATTTTTGCACTTGCTGACCGGCATTATAATGGACACCCAAGGGCGGACTGACCATTTGGAAACTCGGGCACTGCCCGAGGGCCCGGGGTCAGTAGGGGGCCCCATGAGATGCCCCTGGTAAATTTTTCATAGGCTTTTTTGAGTTTGGGTAAGGACACAGGGGCCCCATGATCCCCTATTGCCCGGGGGCCCCATGAGTTGTCAGTCCACCCCTGTGGACACCATTACATGGTTTGTGGAGTTGTTTTGCACAGAGAAGCCCCGATCCTCCTCTTCTCGGTTCCCGGCCGGTGCTCCTAGCTCCTCCTTCCTGCCGAGTGCCCCCAGAGCAAGCAGCTTGCTATAGCGGCAACCGAGCAGGCTTTCTCCAGAGCCATTGCTCTTGGTGAAAATTCACGCGCAGAGCGCTGCTTTTCCCCACACCCTGGCTCTCTTATCATTGGCACGCTGGCTGTGTTTGGCAGTAGCGGAGGCCGATGGCTCTTGTTACTATCTCAGCCAGTGAGGAGGGAGAGACCCAGGGGAATCGATCCTCTCTTGCACATCACTGGATTGAGAGGGGGATCAGGTGTGTATTGGGGGGGGTTGGCCCTGCACACGGAAAGTGTTTTTACTTTCATGCATAGAATAATGAATCCTTGAACCTTAATAACCACTTTAATGAAAGTGTAGTTGTGCATTAAAGATCTAATTTATAGTGACACTGTAATCGCTGGAGAAAAAGAAATAGGAAATCAAAGCCAAAATCAATCAATGAAATAATGACCTATCATACTTTAACACGGAGTATCTGTCAGGGTCAGCAATAAGCACCAGCAAGTGTCTGAGCCAGTAAATATAGCCTTCAGCAATAACCACCAAAAATATTAATCACCAGTAATAGTAACCACCAGCAAGTGTCAGGGCCACCAATGATAACCCCCAGCAAGTGTCAGGGCCACCAATGATAACCCCCAGCAAGTGTCAGGGCCACCAATGATAACCCCCAGCAAGTGTCAGGGCCACCAATGATAACCCTCAGCAAGTGTCAGGGCCACCAATGATAACCCCCAGCAAGTGTCAGGGCCACCATTGATAACCCCCAGCAAGTGTCAGGGTCACCAATGATAACCCTCAGCAAGTGTCAGGGCCACCAATGATAACCCCCAGCAAGTGTCAGGGCCACCAATGATAACCCCCAGCAAGTGTCAGTGCCACCAATGATAACCCTTAGCAGGTGTCAGGGTTACCAGTGATAACCCCCAGCAAGTGTCAGGGCCACCAATGATAACCCTCAGCAAGTGTCAGGGCCACCAATGATAACCCCCAGCAAGTGTCAGGGCCACCAATGATAACCCTCAGCAAGTGTCAGGGCCACCAATGATAACCCCCAGCAAGTGTCAGGGCCACCAATGATAACCCTCAGCAAGTGTCAGGGTGGGGGGGTCACAGTGTCATTAAATGATTGGAGGTATAGTTTTCCTGAGTTGTGAGAGTCATCATTCAAAGGCCATGGCTGTGCTGTAGGTCTTATTGGTCTAGTATGGGAACTACTGGTGTTAGCGATCATTTTTATTTAACGAAACTCTAGTTGTGCTTTGAGGATCTCATTTACAGTCCCATTGTGATCATTGGAGAAAGATTTAGGATATCAAAGCCAAAAAAAAACCAATGAAAGTGTGAGCTATCAAAAGATTAAACACACTTACGCTCGTAGTCCATCTACATATTGTGCGCCGCTCAATTCAGACACTGTATTGGTAGGGATGTTCTTTTCCAACCACACCAAATACTCAATGACTGCCACGGCATCTCGGATCTATGACACAAAAAAGAATGTTACCAATTTCCATGGGAAAAAAAAAACCCCATGGGGATTAAATATGTAGAGCAACCCCGAAAGGAGCTGGTTGGTAATTTGGGTTCTCTGTTCTGCACTGACACTGTACTAATGGCACTGGGTAGGCAGGGGTTAACATGTGGGGTGATCAAAGGGTTAACTGTGTGCTGTGTGCATTTTACTAGGGGGCGTTATGTTGGTGCTTCACTGTAATCACACTGCTTTGGATGGCTGTCCTGTGCACAGCCATCCAAAGCAGTGTGCATGAGCTGACAGGGAAGAGAACTGTTCGTAAACTAAACAGTTCTCCTCCCTGTTGGAGATCCTCAGAAATCACGGAAGATCCTCAGAAATGCAAAATCACGTGTATATATACATGAGATTGCGCACCCGTGTCGCCCTGTAGCAGTATTTCTGCTATAATACTATACTATACTAGCCCTAAGTGCACTCTAGAAGAATGGCTAGAATATGGTTCAACAATCTATGTGTAGCAGCTGTAAAGGGGCAGTCTTTAGTCCTATCTCTTCGGTTGGCTAGCATTGGGGCCCATTTGTACCGTTGGTGCACATGAGAACAGTCCCAGTCAAGTCTATAGGCAACAATAAGGTTACTAGATGGCTGTATGGTCAGTTCCTAAAGGGCTTAATCTCTCTAGCAGCAGATAGTAAATCCTCACAGCAGCAGCTCACCAGTCCCAGCAATATTACAGCTCACCCTCCGGTCACACACAGTGATTAGTCCACTTTCTGCTCTGTTCCCAGGTGACTCTAGCTGTCAACACCCCAAAACTCAGCACTCCAGATCCCATTTAGGCCATCAATATGCAGCAGTGATGGTGCACACTGGACAACAATGTGCACTCTACGGTCTCCCTCATGAACAGCTGGAGGGCCACAGGATGAGCACCTATGCACTACAGCCTGAGAAAGTGCAGCCCTTTCCCTTTCCCCTCCTCCTGGCAATCTCTCTCTGGGAAATGGAGTTCAAAGCTTTTATTCACAGTAGAATCTCTCCTCTGGACTACAGTTCCCACAGTGCAGTGCTGCCTGACTCAGTCTATTGAACTCTTCCTGCTCAGCAGCTCCCTCCTCTGGCTGATATGGCTGTTAACTAGTTCAGCAGCACAAGGTAGCAGCTGCAGCCAGTGTTTCTCCCATTCTAGATTCTTAGCCAAGCACCTCACTACATTTGTTTTATGTAAAAGAATTTTATAGCTCCAGGAATAGCAATCTCCCTTCATCTCCAAACACCAGCCTGGTACTAACAAGAACCAGGTATCCCTCTAGCAAGTCATAGTACCTGTAAAGTACCTTTGCCCGATCCTTTGCTTAAATAAGAAAAGACAAGAGCTTTTTTTCAGCGGGAACGCAGGGGAACACAGTTCCGGCACCTCCAGCACTGGATGTATGTAATGGCAAGGGGTGCTGGGGTGTGCTGGAGAGTTCATTGATGCTGGCTGCTGTGGGATCTATTGTTGGTGGAGAAGCTCTATTTTTGCAGAGGGGGTCTATTGCTGCTGGGGAAGTCTATTGTTGCTGGTGGGGGATCTATTGTTGGTGGAGATGCTCTATTTTTGCGGAGGAGGTCTATTGCTGCTGGGGAGGTCTATTGATGCTGGTGGGGGATCTATTGTTGGTGGAGAAGCTCTATTGCTGCTGGGGAGGTCTATTGTTGCTGGTGGGGGATCTATTGTTGCTGGGATGGGTCTTATGTTGCTGGGTGGCCAATTGTTGCTGGGAGGGATCTATTGTGGCTGGAGGGGTATTTTTTGTGAGGGGGTCCATTGTTGATGGCAAGGTCTACTGTTGCTCGGGGGGATCTATTGTTCTTTGTTGCAGGGGATCTGTTTTACTGCTTTTTCTTGTTATCATGACCAAAATGATACCTGGGTCTCAATTCTATAAAAGGGGCAGTACCGGGAGGTGGGTAGGGGGGTTGGACCAAGGAACGGTGCTCGGAGGTGGGTAATTATTTTACAAACTGACATTTGAAAGAAGACGCGCTTTTTGGAGACAAATTTGTAATGTGAACCTGATGTCTAAGGTAGCTTAGAATAGAGTGTTGTACCACCCACATGGAAAAAGATATATTTGAAATACATTTTAAAAATATTCTTCCCAAATATACTGCCATATTTTTTGAATTGCTACAATTTTGGCCATATTCAATATATTTATATATATATACACATACATACATATACACACACATATATACATACACATACATACTGCATTGTTGAAATGTGTTGTTATTACAAAATATATGAAAAATATTTTTGAAATACATTTCAAATTTACTGCGTGTCTTTAAAAAATACAAATCTACATTTTTGGAATGCATTTACAAATATATGTAAAAATTATGTTAAAGTGACTTTTTTATATGTTAAAAAAAATCTGAAGAATATATTAAAAAAAAATATATATTTTTTTTTTTAAATATTTTTTTAACTATATTCTTCAGATTTTTTTTTTTAACATATAAAAAAAGTCATTTTAACATATATTTGTAAAAGCATTCCCAACATTCCAAAATGTAGATTTGTATTTTTAAAGACATACAGTATATTTGAAATGTATTTAAAAATATATTTTTCTTATATTTTGTAAGAAAAACGCATTTCAACAGTGTGTATGTGTCATTTCAAATATATTTTTCTTCCACATGGGACTATATTGGAACTAACACATAAATCAGCAAAGTCAGCAATAAACAGTGCATATAAGCATTGACTGCAATGTGAATAATCATCCTATAACTAGTCTAGAGTGCACTCTAGGAGGATGGCTAGGATATGGAGCAATGTCCCCTGAGAGGTACCACTTAGAAAGAGAACCTTCACCTATTGCTCATGCTAACAGCTATAAAGGGGCAGTCTTTAGTCCTAACTCTTCAGCCGGCTAGGGTTGAGGCCCGGTTGTACTCGGTGGATGGGTTCAGTTGGTCCTGTGGTTTCTCACTGAAGGTCACTTCATATTTTATTATTACTGGTCATAAACTTAATACAAAACGAAAAGTTTACTCACGTGACAAGTCCTCAGTAACTGTGCTGCTCTTCTCATTTTTCACAGATTTTGTCATCATGATTGGGGAGTAGCTCTCAGATAGAAGCTTATTCTGCAGATAATTCAGAAAAAGAATGAAGTAATAAAATAAATGTTAGGAAATTCCTAGGTGGCCACCATTCTTCAAGGCATGTTAGGCTTTGCTTAGAAAAAAAAAAACAATACAAATATACTTTTTATTTATTTAAAGGTACATCTGCCTATTCTTTGACTTGCATGGTTTCTCCCCCCCTCCCCCTTCATCAACAGGCTAATGAAATTCCTAAATGAAACCTTTCTGTTTTGGGTGCCACTCCAAGCTATGGATGGAAGGAAAAAGATCACCCCACCAGCAAGTGAGAAGAGGGGATCATGAGTCTGAGTGTCAGCCAATACAAGTGAAGGGATGGAAACTGCTCAACCTGAACTTTAATGGCCCCCAGTCTTAGTCCGTAGGGTTCAATATTGAGTTGGCCCCCGCCCTTTGCAGCTATAACAGCTTCAACACTTCTGGGAAGGCCGTCCACAAGGTTTAGGAGGGTGTCTATGGGAAGGTTGGACCATTCTTCCAGAAGCACATTTGTCTCCGCTCTAATTCATCCCAAAGGTGTTCTATGGGATTGGGGTCAGGACTCTGTGCAGGACAGTCAAGTTCCTCCACCCCAAACTGGCTCCTCCATGTCTTTATGGACCTTGCTTTGTGCACTGGTGCGCAGTCATGTTGGAACAGGAAGGGGCCATCCCCAAACTCCTCCCACAAAGTTGGGAGCATGAAATTGTCCAAAATGTCTTGGTATGCTGATGCCTTAAGAGTTCCCTTCACTGGAACTAGGGGGCCAAGCCCAACCCCTGAAAAACAACCCCACACCATAGTCCCCCCTCCACCAAACTTTACACTTGGCACAATGCAGTCAGGCAAGTACCGTTCTCTTGGTAACCGCCAAACCCAGACACGTCAATCGGATTGCCAGACAGAGAAGCATGATCAGTCACTCAAGAGCACACGTCTCTCCACTGCTCTAGAGTCCAGTGGTGGCGTGCTTTACACACCATCCGACGCTTTGCATTGCACTTGGTGATGTAAGGCTTGGATGCAGCTGCTCGGCCATGGAAACCCATTCCATGAAGCTCTCTACGTACTGTTGTTGGGCTCATCTGAAGCCACACCAAGTTTTGAGGTCTTTTAGCTATTGACTCTGCAAGACAGTTGGCGACTTCTGCGCACTGTGCGCGGTCAGCATGCGCTGACCCCGCCCTGTCATGTGACGTGGCCTACCACTTGGTGGCTGAGTTTGCTGTTGTTCCCAGTTGCTTCCACTTTGTTATAATCCCACTAACAGTTGAGCGTGGAATATTTAGTAGCCAGGAAATGTCACGGATGGACTTATTGCACAGGTGGCCACCTATCACGGGACCACGCTTGGAGTCACTGAGCTCCTGAGAGCGACCCATTCTTTCACCAATGTTTGTAGAAGCCGTCTGCATGCCTAGGGGCTTGTATACACCTGTGTCCATGGAGGGGATTGATTGTGGTACATGGGGGTGTACAGGGGTGAGAGCTGACCTGGGTAAAATATTCTTCAAATCTTGCCTGTGACTCATACCATTGAACAGGCCGGGGGGGGGGGGGTCACAAGCCAGCATACTATGTCACCCATCACCGCTGATTATTTTACCTTGGGTATAATTTCATACACTCCATAATTGGTGTACTGAGATCCAATCCAGACTTTCACATCCCCCTTCACATAATCCATGAGGGTCTCCCGGACTTTTTCATACTCAATGATCTCGACGCACATGGGCCCAGGACAGTTGTTTCTCAGATAATTTCGGACAGCATCTGTGGTACGGCTGACATTGACAAACAACCTGCACAGAGAGGGAGAGGGGGAGAACAGAGAAGGATCATTTATATAAAAGTCTGTGCTTACTACATGAAATTGTATCTAGATTACCAGTCCCCAGATGAGGTGGCTGCAATCATTTTCTGATTTCAGGTTTTTTTCTTTATTTTTACCAGGTGATCTTGCCAGGAATATACTTTCTGCCTCGGAATGACAATTCTTACTCAATGGTGAAGCAGCGTTGTCACCCTAGAATAGGTCTACAGAACACCTCCCCCACTCCTCATCTCCATATCATGGGGGGAGGAAGTGCTCTGTGGGTCATGGAGGTGACCTGGGCAGGAATGATATAACTCTTTGGAATTCCAGTACAACAGAGGCACCATGTTGCCCATTACAGAAAGTTATCAGATCGCATGATTACTGGCAGGATCAATACATATTTGTTGATTTGTACTTATTGAACAGCTATGCCAAAACAGTTTCAATGTAAATTTAACAGACCAATAAGGAAGAAAATAAGAGAGATCAATTGTTATCTCCTAAGAAAAACATTTCTACAGTTTCAGTGGAACTTCCAAGTCTGTACAGTGCTGTGAAAAAGTATTTGCCCCTGGTTTTTAAATTTTCTTTCGCATTTGTCAAACTTAAATGATTCAGATCATCAAACACATCTTAACTACATGCCGCCCAGCCACTGTACATATACGGCGGCAGGGCGACACTCGCAGGCAAAACCATGTTTTAAAACGCGTGTTTTTTGTAAACAAATAGGGGGCGCGCCGCCACCCTATTTGTCCCGCGGATCACCACCGCAGATGTCAGTCGCCGGGTCACAGCCGCTCCTTAGCGGCTATGTCCCGGCGATCGGCGGCAAACAGTGACAGACAGCACAGCTGCAGTAGCTGTGCTGTCTGTCACTTCCCTGTCAGCTCGAGGATGAGCTGATCGAGAAAGAACAGTTTCTCTTTCTCGATCAGCGGTGTCCCGCCCAGTACACACCCCGCCCCCTAGTAAAACACTCTCCTCACTCCTATAACCCTTCCCTACAAAATAGTTAACCCCTTCCTCCCCATTGCCATTAGTACAGTGTCAGTTTTTTTTTTTGCACTGATCTCTGTATTAGTGTTTTTGGGGATGTCAGTGACCCCAAGTCAGTACCCCCCAATGTCAGAATGTCTGCCGCAGTCCCGCCATAAGTCGCTGCCATAAGTCCCTGATCGCCGCCATAATTCGCTGATCGCCGCCATAATTAGTATAAAAAAACCCTTAAAATCCCAGTATCTTTCCCGCCATTTGTAAACGCTATAACTTTCACGTAAACCAATTATTTTACACGTATTGGAGTTTTTTTTTAGCAAAGACATGTCGCAGAATGCATTTTGGCAGAAATTTATGACTAAATTTGCTTTTTGCTTTTTTAAACTAGCGCTGTATAGCAGAAAAATGGTGTAAATTGCAGTATCTATACCATAGTTTGTAGACGCTATAACTTCCACACAAAGCAATCAATATACACTTATTGGGATTCTTTTTACCAAAAACATGGAGCAGAATACATTTTGGCCTAAATTTATGACCAACTTTGAGTTTACTATATATTTTTTTATAGCTGAAAATAAAAAACATTGTTTTTCTTCAAAATTTTTGGCATTTTTTTGTTTATAGCGTGAAAAATAAAAAAGCGCACAGGTGATCAAATTACACCGAAAGAAAGCTCTATTTGTGTGAAAAAAAGGACGTAAATTTCGTTTGGGTGCAGCATTGCATGACCGCGCAATTATCAGTTGAATTAGTGCAGCGCCGAGTAGCAAAAAGAGGCGTGGTCATTAAGGGGGGTAAATCCTCTGGAGCTCAAGTGGTTAATATTACACAACGAGTAAATACAAAACGCATTCTTTAAAAATGATGTTTTCATTTATTAAAAGGAAAAAAGCCTGGCAATATGTGAAAAAGAAATTGACCCCCCCCCCTTCATAAATCAGGAATGAACTGTAAATTACCACATTTTCACATTTGTTTGGAACGCCGAGTTAAATTTCACTTGCCACACCCAGGCCTGATTACTGCCAGACCTGCTGAATCAACAAATCACTTAAATAGAAGCTGTCTGACAAAGTGAAGCATGCTAAAAGATCTCAAAAAGCAACACATCGTGCCACGATGTGAAGAAATTCAAGAACAGATAAGAAACAAAGTAATTGACATGTACGACAGTCTGAAAATGGTTAAAAAAAAAACAATTCTAAGGCTTTAGGACTCCAGCAAACCACATTGAGGGTCATTAACCACAAATGGAGAAAACTTGGAACAGTGGTGAACCTTCCCAGGAGTGGCTGGTCTACCAAAATTTCTTCAAGAGCAGAACGGCGACTCATCCAGGAGGTCATGAAGAAACAACAGAACAACATCTAAAGAACTGCAGGCCTCACTTGCCTCAACTAAGGTTAGTGTTCATGATTCAACAATAAGAAAGAGACCGGGCAAAAATGGCCGCCATGGGAGAGTTCCAAGGTGAAAGCCAATGCTGACCAAAAAGAACACAAAGGCTCATCTCACACATTTTCCAAAAAATATTGATTATCTCCAAAACTTTTAAGAAAATATTCTGTGGACTGATGAGACAAAAGTTGAACTTTTGAGATGGTGTGCGTCCCGTTACATCTGGCATAAAAACATAACATAAAAAGAACATCATACCAACAGTCACACAAGGTGGTGGTCAGGGGCGGACTGACCATTGGGAACTTGGGCACTGCCCAAGGGCCCGGGGTCAGTAGGGGGCCCCATGAGATGTCCCTGGTACCTTTCGTAGGCTTTTTTGGGTGTGGTTTGAGTGTGGGCGAGGACACAGGGGCCCCCATGATTCCCTATTGCCCGGGGGCCCCATAAGTTGTCAGTTCGCCCCTGGCGTTGGTAGTGTGGTGGTCTGGGTTCAGGACCTAGATGACTTGCCGTAATTAATGGAACCATGAATTCTGCTCTCTGCCAGAAAATCCAGAAGGAATGTCCGGCCATCAGTTCCTGACCTCAAGCTCAAGCACACTTAGGTTATGCAGTAGGACAACGATCCAAAAATCATCAGCAAGTCCACCTCTGAATGGCTCAAAAAAAAAAAACAACAAAATAAGGGATTTGGAGTGGCCTAGTCAAAGTCTGGACTTAAATCCGATTGAGATGCTGTGGCATGACCTTAAACAGGCCATTCCTGCTGGAAAACCCTGCAATGTGGCTGAATTAAAACAGTTCTGCAAAGAAGAGGAGGCCAAAATTCCTCCACAGCGATGGGGAAGACTGCCAGTTATTGCAAAAGCTTGATTGCAGTTGTTGCCACCAAGGGTGGCATAGCCAGATATTAGGTTTAGGGCCCACATTAAAGAAAAATACATTTGAAATATATTTTAAAAATATCCTTCCCAAATATATTGACATACAGTGAGGAACAGAAGTATTTGAACCCCCTGCAATTTTGCAAGTTCTCCCACTTAGAAATCATGGAGGGGTCTGACATTCACATTGTAGGTGCATTCTCACTCTGAGAGACAGAATTAAAAAAAAAATTCAGGAAATCCCATTGTATGATTTGTAAAGAATGTATTTGTCTCGCACTGCTGAACAGAAGTATTTGAACACCTGAGAAAATCAGTGTTAATATTTGGTACAGAAGCCTTTGTTTGCAATTACAGAGGTCAGACGTTTCCTGTAGTCCTTGACCAGGTTTGCACTGCAACAGGGATTTTGGCCGACTCCTCCACACAGATCTCCTCTAGATCTGTCAGGTTTCGGGGCTGTCGCTGAGCAACACGGAGTTTCAGCTCGCTCCAAAAATGTTCTATTGGATTTAGGTCTGGAGACTGGCTAGGCCACTCCAGAACCTTGATATGCTTCTTACGGAGCCACTCCTTGGTTCTCCTGGCTGTGTGCTTCGGGTCGTTGTCATGTTGGAAGACCCAGCCATGACCCATCTTCAATGCTCTGACTGAGGGAAGGAGGTTGTTGCTCAAAATCTCACAATAAATGGCCCCATTCATCCTCTCCTTAATACAGTGCAGTCGTCCTGTCCCCTTCGCAGAAAAGCACCCCCAAAGCATGATGTTACCACCCCATGCTTCACAGTAGGGATGGTGTTCTTGGGATGAAACTCATCCTTCTTTTTCCTCCAAACACGACGAGTGAAGTTTAGACCAAAAAGGTCTACTTTGGTCTCATCTGACCACATGACTTTCTCCCATGCCTCCTCTGGATCTTCCAGATGGTCATTGGCAAACTTCAGACGGGCCTGGACATGTGATGACTTGAGCAGGGGAACCTTCCGTGCAATGCATGATTTGAAACCATGACGGCGTAGTGTTCTACCGACAGTGACCTTTGAAACTGTGGTCCCAGCTCTCTTCATGTCATTGACCAGCTCCTCCCTTGTAGTTCTGGGTTGATTCCTCACCTTTCTTATCATCAGTGATACCCCACGAGGTGAGATCTTGCATGGAGCCCCAGTCCGAGGGAGACTGACAGTCGTCTTTAGCGTCTTCCATTTTCTAACAATTGCTCCAACAGTTGATCTATTTTCACCAAGCTGCTTGGCAATTGCCCCGTAGCCCTTTCCAGCCTTGTGGAGGTCCACAATTTTGTCTCTGGTGTCTTTTGACAGCTCTTTGGTCTTGCCCATGGTAGTAGTTGGCGTCTGACTGACTGTGGGGTGGACAGGTGTCTTTAAAGAGCTCAGACAGGTGCTACTAAGTTAGATTAATGAGTGGAGTAGAGGTGGACTTTTTAAAGGTGCAGTAACAGGTCTTTGAGAGCCAGAATTCTTGCTGTTTCTTAGGTGTTCAAATACTTCTGTTCAGCAGTGCAGGACAAATAAATTCTTTAAAAACAAATCATACAATGGGATTTCCTGAATTTTTTTTTTAATTCTGTCTTCAGAGTGGGAATGCACCTACAATGTGAATTTCAGACCTCCATGATTTCTAAGTGGGAGAACTTGCAAAATCGAAGGGTGTTCAAATACTTCTGTTCATCACTGTATATTTGAATTACTACAATTTTGGCCGTATTCAATATATTTCATATAAACATATATACAGCACAATGCACGTACTTGATGGAGTTCTTGGTCAGCATTGCATAGGAGTAGAAGAAGGGATTGTATGGAATGTCCTGTCCTCGAAGATTGAAGAGCCCTAAGGAAGGCAAAGAACACTGTTAATGAAGAAGTGATCATCTATATATGTATGGGCCAGTGAAATAAAAAAAAAAAAAATTAAAAATAAAAATTCACACAAAACGTTGTTGGGATATAGCCTAGAGCATAGAAGCCTTGTCAGGTGACATGTGTGTCCCCATCAGGAGATTTCCCCAAACTTCCAGTTTCAGAGACACAACAGCAAGTGAGTGAAAATCTCTCACAAGTTAGTGGGAATCTTTGACAGCTTTCGCAGAAACTAGTGACACTATTGTGAGGCATTCCCTCCATTTCTGCTCCAGAGGAAGCTATAACACTTGGTTAGATATACCACAACAAAAAATGTAACGGATTTTCTTTTAATTAGCAGGAAAGTGTAGGATTTGTTTACTCAACACTCTTTGAAGTTGGTTTGAATTGCTGCTGCACTCTGGAGGATGTAAATGAGCACTCTGAAGGAGGATGTAAGGAGGCACTCTGGAGGAAGTAAAGGAGCACTCTGGAGGATGTAAAGGAGCACTCTGGAGGATGTGAAAGAGCACTCTGAAGGATGTAAGGGGGCATGTAAGGGGATGTAAGGGGGCACTCTGGAGGATGTAAAGGAGTACTCTCTGAAGGAGGATGTAAGGGGGATGTAAGGGGGCACTCTGGAGGATGTAAAGGATGTAAAGGAGTACTCTGAAGGAGGATGTAAGGGGGCACTCTGGAGGATGTAAAGGGTAGTGGAGGATGTAAGGCGGCACTCTGGAGGATGTAAAGGAGTAGTTACTCTGAAGGAGGATGTAAGGGGGCACTCTGATGGAGGATGTAAAGGTCTGTACTCTGAAGGAGGATGTAAGGGGGCACTCTGGAGGATGTAAAGGAGTACTCTGAAGGAGGATGTAAGGGGGCACTCTGGAGGATGTAAAGGAGTACTCTGAGGAGGATGTACTCTGAAGGAGGATGTAAGGGGGCACTCTGGAGGATGTAAAGGAGTACTCTGATGGAGGATGTAAGGGGGCACTCTGGAGGATGTAAAGGAGGTGGGAAAAGGAGTACTCTGAAGGAGGATGTAAGGGGGCACTCTGGAGGATGTAAAGGAGTACTCTGATGGAGGATGTAAGGGAGCACTTGAAGGATGTAAAGGAGTACTCTGAAGGACAATGTAAGGTGGAAGTCTGGAGGATGTAAGGGGGCACTCTGGAGGATGTAAAGGAGTATTCTAAAGGAGTTGTAGGGGGGAACTCTGGAGGATGTAAGGGGGCACTATGGAGGATGCAAAGGAGTACTCTGAAGGAGGATGTAAGGCGGCACTCTGGAGGATGTAAAGGAGTACTCTGAAGGGAGATGTCAGGAGGGAATACCGCCAGGGGGGGGGTTAAAGGGATGAGGTGGCAACCCTAATCATGCACCTGGCGAGGAGACCACCTGAACAAGGGCTGGTGAGGGTAAACCAGAAGCATAGAGGAGCACTCAATCCATGTCAAACCAAAAAGGAGAAGCCGGTTATCATGATAACATGTTTCAGGTACTTGCCCCTTCCTCAGATCATATTCCTGAACCCAGCATTAAAGTGTATTTCAATCTTATCTCTTCCTGGGCTCGTGACTCTATTGACTTCCACCGGGTTGGAAACGTTCCTCTATTTGTTGTTTTTTTGCTTTCATTTTGAATGGCAACCCAACTCACTTTGTCGATGGATATGTTTTGCAGCGCAAAAAACTAATCAATATTTTATACTTAAAAATAATATTACAGCACAAAAATTAAACAAACAATAGTAATTATATCAACAGTGATATAATAATAATCAATAATAATCAAAAATAATAAAAAGCCCGCTGTCCCACATGAATGGTAATGCAGTGTTCCAGTCAAAGAAACGGTGCCAAAAAAAAACAAATGTGTTCCTTAAAGTCACCTTCCGGGACAATCCACACTCACCAGATATGATTGGCTCTTAGCTTGTATGACTTAAGAGTCAAATGAGCTTTTATTGTGTGTTCCCCGGAATGAACCAGATGTTTGGTGGTTTTTTTACCTTATGAACAGCAGCATTTTAATTATTTGGATTACATAGAATTTTAAAGGTTTTTATATAACCACTTCCCATCTGGCCCATGTATATAAAGGGCCGGACGGTGGCAGTGCAGGGTCAGGTGGCCGTTTATAAAAATGGCCTCCCCGCCGTTCCCCTGCTTGTACGCGCTCCCTGGGAGCAGGCAGCACCGCGATCCGGTGCCCACTGTGTTCTCCGGACAGTGAAACATGATTGTTGGATGGGACCTCTGTGTGAGGTCCCAATCATGTGATCACTGATTGGCCAATCAGTGATCACATGCAGAGTAGTAAGCAAGATGTCACTTCTGACATCATTGCTTACTACGTGTGAAATCTGTGAATGATCACAGAGATCACATGGTACAAGGCTATTCACAACAATCACAGCTCCCACAGTAGTTCTCAATGGCTGCAAGAATGCAGCTAGAGAGAAGGAGAAATGATTGCTTTTACAGCCTTTATGGGTGTAAAAGCAATCAGTGTAAAAAGAAAAAAAAAAATCTTCCATCACCCCCCACAAGTAGTACAGTGTCACCATGGTGACACTGTACTGCTAGGGTGACAGTATGTAAAAAAAATAAAAATAAATAATAAAAATTTCTTAAAAAATGTAAAAAAAAAAGTTTAACAAATTATAATCTTTGGTTAGAAACTAATTTGTTTTTTTTTTTTTACTAAAAAGATAACGGAATAAATTTTGGCCAACATTTTTGATGAAATACTATTTGTTTGCAAAATTTTATATGAAAAACACTTTTTTCCAAAATGTTTTGACTTTTTCATTTACATAGCAAAAAAAATAAAAATCCCAGCGGTGAATAAATACCACCAAAATAAAGTTTTATCTGTCTCAAAAAAATGCTAAAAATTCATATGGGTACAGTGTTGCATGACCGCGCAATTGTCATTCAAAGTGTGATAGCGCTGAAAACTGAAAATTGTCCTGGACAGGAAGGGGGTGAAAGTGTCCGAAATGGAAGGGGGTGAAAGTGTCCGGACTGGAAGGGGGGCAAAGTGTCCGGACTGGAAGGGGGTAAAAGTGTCCAGACTGGAAGGGGGTAAAAGTGTCCGGACTGGAAGGGGGTAAAAGTGTCCGGACTGGAAGGGGGTGAAAGTGTGTCCAGACTGGAAGGGGGTGAAAGTGTCCGGACTGGAAGGGGGTAAAAGTGTCCGGACTGGAAGGGGGGGAAAGTGTCCGGACTGGAAGGGGGTGAAAGTGTCCGGACTGGAAGGGGGTGAAAGTGTCCGGACTGGAAGGGGGGGGAAAGTGTCCGGACTGGAAGGGGGTGAAGTGTCCGGACTGGAAGGGGGGTAAAGTGTCCGGACTGGAAGGGGGTGAAAGTGTCCGGACTGGAAGGGGGTGAAAGTGTCCGGACTGGAAGGAGGGTGAAAAGTGTCCGGACTGGAAGGGGGGGGAAAGTGTCCGGACTGGAAGGGGGTAAAAGTGTCCGACTGGAAGGGGGTGAAAGTGTCCCAGACTGGAAGGGGGTAAAGTGTCCGGACTGGAAGAGGGTAAAAGTGTCCGGACCGGAAGGGGGGGAAAGTGTCCGGACTGGAAGGGGGTGAAAGTGTCCGAACCGGAAGGGGGTAAAAGTGTCCGGACAGGAAGGGGGTGAAAGTGTCCAGACTGGAAGAGGGGGGAAAAGTGTCCGGACAGGGAAGGGGGTGAAAGTGTCCAGACTGGAAGGGGGTAAAAGTGTCCGGACAGGAAGGGGGTGAAAGTGTCCGGACTGGAAGGGGGGAAAGTGTCCGGACTGGAAGAGGGTAAAAGTGTCCGGACTGGAAGGGGGTAAAAGTGTCCGGACAGGAAGGGGGGGAAAGTGTCCGGACTGGAAGGGGGTGAAAGTGTCCGGACTGGAAGGGGGTGAAAGTGTCCGGACTGGAAGGGGGGGGGAAAGTGTCCGGACTGGAAGGGGGGTAGAAAGTGTCCGGACTGGAAGGGGGGGAAAGTGTCCGGACTGGAAGGGGGGGGAAAGTGTCCGGACTGGAAGGGGGGGTAAAAGTGTCCGGACTGGAAGGGGGTAAAGTGTCCGGACTGGAAGGGGGGGGAAAGTGTCCGGACTGGAAGGGGGTAAAAGTGTCCGGACTGGAAGGGGGTAAAAGTGTGTCCGGACTGGAAGGGGGTGAAAGTGTCCGGACTGGAAGGGGGTGAAAGTGTCCTGGACTGGAAGGGGGTGAAAGTGTCTGGACTGGAAGGGGAAAGTGAAAGTGTGTCTGGACTGGAAGGGGGTGAAAGTGTCCGGACTGGAAGGGGGTGAAAGTGTCTGGACTGGAAGGGGGTGAAAGTGTCTGGACTAGAAGTGGTTAAGTGCGGGTTAATTTGACATAAATATTTTATACTTGTATATGTGAAGAGCAATTAATAGACCATACAATAAATGCAGCCTCAGTTATATTTACTAAAGAACACAAAATATTTATTTAATGGACTAATCAAGAAGCCCCTTTTTTTTTCCACTCGTTAGGCAAAATAATCAGCGTTCCCCATGCAGGTTTGTTCTGACTTCCTCCTGATAAACGTGTCCTTATTTTTCCCTTCTGGTTGGCTTTGCAGCCATGTGATGGAAATATTTGTACTTTGTCCGGCTACATTTCCTCTTGGTTAGTTATTTCACTTACACGCGGTTTCCTCCAGAGCGGAGAGCAGCAGCGAAGTCGGCTTCTGGGAATGTTCTTCCATCTGATTCCGAATTTTATTGACCTTTTCCTGCCAGCTGTTCCCTATAACACAGAGGTGAAATAAGGTGACCATGATTAGTAGGTCCTAAATTTGTTATCGTCTCACTTTTCTAATGCTTCATAGCGGATTGGTTCATCACAGGGGTATATTTGTAGGGGCCTATTTACATTTTTGTAGTGCGTTGCGTTGAGGCAGACTGTTGAAAGCAGTGGGCCGCTAATGCCCCCTCATGTGCCAAAAATCAGACGCAAAACATTTTTGGCGATATAATGCAAAACTGTTTGATGCGTTGCAATGCAGGTGTGTTGGGGTACGAATGGCACCACGATGCATTGACGCATGTAATGTGGCTGAGCACTGTGGTCACTCGCAATGGCGTAAGTGGACCCTCAATGGTTTTGCACCCAAGATTCGTACAGGGTTCACTCATTTTCACTTAAGAGACAATTAGAAAAATGTGTGAATCTTGGGTAAAAGTTGTATGAATCTTGGGAAAAACACTGATAAATAGACCACTGAGTAATACTCTGCAATACATGTACATTTCCCCATGTTTTATCTCTTAAAAAAGCAGCAAGGTTAGAAAAGTGCCTGTTCTGCCAGAAATCCTGGGAGCTCCTAGCTTCCTGCTGTTGGTTGACAGTGCTGCCTCTGCTGCACTGAGATCCCTAGAAGTGTTGTCAGCACTGCCTGCTGAACTATGAAACTTCACCTCTCCAGTCTTCTTGACCCACTTTGTCTCTCTCTACATGCATGCATTGATTTACTAGAAAGACAATTCTGCTGTTTTGACTGCATATACTATTCCTCTCATTGACACCAACAATGGGGCACCATTCCGCCCACTGATACCAATGATGGAGCACCATTCTGCCCACTGATACCAATGATGGGGCACTATTGCGCCCACTGATACCAATGATGGGGCACTATTCCTCCCACTGATACCAATGATGGGACACTATTCCTCCCACTGACACCAATGATGGGGCACTATTCCTCCCACTGATACTAATGATGGGGCACCATTCCGCCCACTGATACCAATGATGGGGCACTATTCCTCCCACTGATACCAATGATGGGGCACCATTCCGCCCACTGATACCAATGATGGGGCACTATTCCTCCCACTGATACCAATGATGGGGCACTATTCCTCCCACTGATACCAATGATGGGGCACTATTCCTCCCACTGATACCAATGATGGGGCACTATTCCTCCCACTGACACCAATGATGGGGCACTATTCCTCCCACTGATACCAATGATGGGGCACTATTCCTCCCACTGACACCAATGATGGGGCACTATTCCTCCCACTGATACCAATGATGGGGCACTATTCCTCCTACTAATACCAATGATGGGGCACTATTCCTCCCACTGATACCAATGATGGGGCACTATTCCTCCCACTGACACCAATGATGGGGCACCATTCTGCCCACTGATACCAATGATGGGGCACTATTCCTCCCACTGATACCAATGATGGGGCACTATTCCTCCTACTAATACCAATGATGGGGCAGTATTCCTCCCACTGATATCATAGATGGGGTACCATTCCTCCCAATGACACCAATGATGGGGCACCATTCCTCCTACTGACACCAATGATGGGGCACTATTCCTCCCACTGTTACCAATGCTGGGGCATCATTCCTTCCACTGATATCAATGATGGGGCATCATTCCTTCCACTGATACCAACAATGGGGTACCCTTCTTCCCACTGATACCAATGAAGGGGCACTATTCCTCCCACTGATACCAATAATGGGACATCATTCCTTCCACTGATACCAATAATCGGGTACCCTTCTGCCCACTGATACCAATGATGGAGCATTATTCCTCCCACTATCACCAATGATGGGGCACTATTCCTCCCTCTGATACCAATGATGGGGCACTATTCCTCCCACTGATACCAATGATGGGGCACTATTCCTCCCACTGACACCAATGATGGGGCACTATTCCTCCCACTGATACCAATAATGGGGCACTATTCCTCCCACTGACACCAATGATGGGGCACTATTCCTCCCACTGATACCAATGATGGGGCACTATTCCTCCCACTGATACCAATGATGGGGCACTATTCCTCCCACTGATACCAATGATGGGGCACTATTCCTCCACTGACACCAGTGATGGGGCACTATTCCTCCACTGATACCAATAATGGGGCACTATTCCTCCCACTGATACCAATGATGGGGCACTATTCCTCCCACTGATACCAATGATGGGGCACTATTCCTCCCACTGATACCAATGATGGGGCACTATTCCTCTTACTGATACCAATGATGGGGCACTATTCCTCCCACTGACACCAATGATGGGGTGCTAATACTCCACTGATACAAATGATGGGGCATCATTCCTTTCACTGATACCAATGAAGTGGCACTATTCCTCCCACTGACAACAATGATGGGGCACTATTCCTCCCACTGATAAAATCATGGGGCATCATTCCTCTCCCTGATACCAATAATGGGGCACAATTCCTTCCACTGACACCAATATTAAGGCACCATTCCTCTCACTAATAATAATGATAGGGTAGCATTATTTCCTTCCCATCCCATTGAATAATAAAAGCTTTTTCTCGCTTTTTATATTCTTGAGAAAAAAATAATGCAGGAACATGATCTATAGGAGAGGAGATTATGGCCCATTTACATTTTTGCAGTGGGTTAACGTGTTTTATATTGCACGTTGTGATAAGGCAGTCTTTTAAAAATCATAGGCTGCTAATGCACCAAAACATCCTGAAAATCAGAAATGCCCCATAGCATTTGTAATGAAATGCACTGCAACCCATGTGCGTTGCCTTAGTGCATTTGGATGCCACTCAAAATGAATAGCACTGCAATGCAGCTAACATGCCTTACGGCAATGAAAAAATATATAAATGGGTTCCTTGGGGATAAGTTTTGCTATCACAGAAGATTAGCTTTAAGGTTTTTAAGGATGGAATAGAGGTGTAAGAAACAATTAAGAAAGTAAAACCAATAACAGTTCTACTAAGTAAATTAATTTATAGAATGATGCTTATGCAAGGCTTGGTATGGGCAGCCTAACAAAAATGGTAATACTCTAATACAGGGGTACTGAATTAAAATTCATGGAGAACCGGCTGGTAACATTTTCTTTCTGCAGAGGTCCAAAACTCATTTTTCTTCCATTACTCAGGTCTTTCACATCACAGCCCCCTTTACACTAATGTCCTCGGCCCCCCCCCGTACATCACAACTCCCTTTCACATCAGAGCCCCACAACATTATACCCCCGCTTACATCACAGTCCCCCTTCACATCACAGTCTTTCCTTGACATCACAGTCCCCCTTCACATCACAGTCTTTCCTTGACATCACAGTCCCCCTTCACATCACAATCTTTCCTTGACATCACAGTCCCCCTTCACATCACAGTCTTTCCTTGACATCACAGTCCCCCTTCACATCACAGTCTTTCCTTGACATCACAGTCCCCCTTCACATTACAGTCTTTCCTTGACATCACAGTCCCCCTTCACATCACAGTCTTTCCTTGACATCACAGTCCCCCTTGCAATCACAACCCCCCACATCACAGCTCCGCATCTCCTGACTTCACAGACCCTTCATATCACAGCTCCTCCCTCTCACATCACAGCCCCCCCCATATCACAGTTCCCCCTCTAACATCACAGTTCCCCTATATCGCAGCTCTCCTCACATCACAGCCCCCCATATCGCAGCTCCCCTCACATCACAGTCCCCCCCCATATCACAGCTCCCCCTCTAACATCACAGTTCCCCCATATCGCAGCTACCCTCACATCACAGCCCCCCATATCACATCTCCCCCTCTAACATCACAGTTCCCCCCAGGGGCGGACTGACAACTCATGGGGCCCCCCGGGCAATAGGGGATCATGGGGCCCCTGTGTCCTTGCCCAAACTCAAAAAAGCCTATGAAAAAAGTACCAGGGGCATCTCATGGGGCCCCCTACTGACCCCGGGCCCTCGGGCAGTGCCTGAGTTTCCAAATGGTCAGCCCACCCCTGGTTCCCCCATATCGCAGCTCTCCTCACATCACAGCCCCCCATATCACAGCTTCCCCTCTAACATCACAGTTCTCCCATATCACAACTCTCCTCACATCACAGCCCCCCAGTATTACATCTCCCCCTCTCACATCACAACTCCCTCTTATCACAGCCCCCCATTCCACAGCTCTCTTCTCTCACTTCACAGCCCCTCCCTCTAACAGCACCCCCATATCACAGCTCCCCCATATCACAGCTCCCCCATATCACAGTTCCCCAATCTCATTGTCTCCGCCCATATCACAGATCCCTCCCTGATATCACAGCACCCTCTACCCCATAATCTTCCCCATACCTTAATGCATTGTGGAGGGCTGGAGGAATGGCGGGGGGACTTCTGTTCTGTATGTACTCATCTTCCACCACCGTCGTCACCGCTGCTGTTGAAGTCACAGTAGGGAAGAGGGCAGGAGGAGTGGAAGGAAGGACTCCACTTCTGAATATACTGGCTTGCCACGGCTACCCTTAAACTCAGAGCAGGGAGGAGGGCGGGAGGAATGAAAGGAAGGACTCCTTTTAATGTACTGGCCAGGGGCAGACTGAACATTTGGAAACTCGGGCACTGCCCGAGGGCCCGGGGTCAGTAGGGGGCCCCATGAGATGCCCCTGGTACCTTTTTCATAGGCTTTTTTGAGTTTGGGAAAGGACACAGGGGCCCCATGATCCCCTATTGCCCAGGGGGCCCATGAGTTGTCAGTCCGCCTCTGGTACTGGCTTGCCCCCGCTGAACTCAGAGCAAGGAGGAGGACAGGAGACATATACGGTTTCCACTGAGGGCTGGAGCTGCCCCACTCTTCCTGGTAAAAATCGAGTGATTTGCATGAAAGGTTCGCTCCCCTTCCCCACTCCCCTGTAGACCTGCAGAGTTTCCTGACCTCCTCCCTGCTCTGAGTTCAGCGGCGACAAGCCGGTACATTCAGATGAGGCGTCCTTCCTTCCATTCCTCCTGCCCTCTTCCCTGCTGGAATTCAACAGCAGCAACCACGACTGCTGTGGCAAAAGAGTACGTACAGAACAGGAGTCCACCCAGCCATTCCTCCCAGTTACTAGAAGGTGCAGCGGTGGGAGAAGAGGAGTCCACTCAGCCTGCTAAGTGGTGTGGCCGCGGTCCGGACAGGACTGTTACTCGGTCCGTATTCGGACCGCGGTCCGCCATTTAGTGATGCCTGCTCTAATAGAACTCTGATCTTCTTAAGGTTTAAATATAACTTAACGCATTGACCACTCTAAAACAGACAAGGCTAAATCACATTTTAGATTTCAAAACTTTAAATAATAAAAAATAGCAAAGATGGTAAATTCTGCACTACATTAGCATACAAATTCAGCTTTACGACAAATGTTTTCTTTCTAAGCTTGTATGGGACACTATTTTTTTGACTTAGGGTTCATCTAGTCACTTGAACTCTCCGGTCCTCTTTACACATCCTTGAATAACAAACACAATATATTTTATACCTAGAAATTCCTCAGGGATTGCATAGATTTCATTATCAGGCAGAGGGGGGCGCTGACTCCCCCACACCGTATCCACTAGATTGACAGGTACAGAGCGCAGAATCCTTCCAGATTCTTCAAACACAGTGTTGTATGACTCCCATTCATCTAGGAGAGGAACCAAAATAAAAACTATTTACACAGAAAATAAATGAGTAATAACAGAACAGAAAGATCAATGTACTTACCAACCCTGTAAGTTTAGGTGTTAAATTTCAATCTAGCATTAAGCAAAATCTGCCATTTTGCCAGTTTTTGGGCAATATTACAGGTTCTCTTGACAGCCCATTGATTACCTGCGGCACAGTTTGCTGATGCTTCATTCTCAAGTTGGAGCTCTTTGAAATACCCAACACTTCCAGGTGTGGGGGAGCATGTGAACTTCTCCCCTTCCCACCAAGATGCAATGTTTGGACCTGAGTGGCTATTTCCCACACCTGAACACAGTCACATGGCAGCTTCAACACCAACTAGGTTGCTAGTTGTTCCTTTACTAACCACTAATGTAACCATTAATGTAAAGGGAATTCTTCCTCCAATTGTCTACCAATCTGAGGGTCCATATCCCTCTGACCATAATAAAAATGGAGCACTTGATCAATGACTACCATAGTAAGGGGAAGCCTTCTCTATTGACCACTAATATAAAGGGCATTCTTTCTCCAACTTTACACCAATGGTATCCCTTGTCCCACTGACTAAATGTAAGGAAGATCCTTCTTCACTGACCATCAATGTGGAGCACTACTGACCACCAATGTAAGGAGATGCCTTCTCCACTGATCACTAATGTTAAGGACATTCTTCCTCCAACTATCCACCAATGGTATCCTTTGTCCCACTGACTATAAATGTAAGGAAGGCCCTTCTTCAATTTGGTAAAGGATGTTCTTCCCTCAGCTATCAAACAATGGCACCCCTTGTCCCATTGACTATAAATGTGAGTGGGGCCCTTCTTTAATGACCATCACAGAGGACAAGGGGGCACTCTTTACGTCTGGAGAAAAATAAATTTAATCTCCAAACACGGAAATGTTTCTTCACAGTGAGAGCTGTGAGAATGTGGAATAGACTCCCTCAAGAGTTGGTTGTGGCCAGCTCAGTGGATTGCTGTAGGAAAGTCCTGGATTCTTTCTTGGATACACATTTATAGGTAACATAACATTTATAGGTAGAGTTGATCCAGGGAATATCCGATTGCCTCTCGGGGGATCAGGAAGGAATTTTTTTTTCCCTGCAGGAGCAAATTGGATCATGCTTTGCTGGGGGGGGGGGGGGGGGTTGCCTTCCTCTGCATCAACTGTGGGTATACTATTATAATTTTTTTTTTTGTAATGGTTGAACTGTATGGACTTTTGTCTTTTTTCAGCCAGACTAACTATATAACTATATAACCATCTACTGACCCCTAATGTAAGAGGAAGCCTTTTCCACTGATAACAACATTCTTCTCCCAACTGCCAACCATTGGCATATCCCTTCCCACTGACCATAAATGTAAGGGAAGCCCTTTTTTCTTGCCCACCAATATAAGGGGGTAGCCTTCTCCACTGACCACCATTGTAAGACTGTATTAAAAATGTCACTGTCTGCTTTTCTTTTGTGGACATTAGGATTATATTCACTACTTACTAATCATGTTGATTTAAATTGAGCTATAGTTATATTCATTTTTGACAAGTCCTTTATTAAAAAAAAATAAAGATCCCAACAAAAAATGTCCCACGTTGTAAATCCATTGTCATTCATGATGCCCACCGCTTGCCAACTTATTTAAATTAAAAACCTGAGACCAATCCCCTCCGTACTGCTTGCCAAAAGACAGCACTCCAGGCTGTCATCAGCTTTATAAGGGAAGAGGCAAGGATACTAGTGACATCATTGCCCCAACATGACCAGAGACCATTCTTTGCAGTGATGTCACTGCAATCTTCTCCCCTTTGCCTACGTGGCAAGGCATTCCTGGCCATGTAAGCCAATGTACCGGTGATTGCAGGGGTTGCTAGGGATACAGTGGGTGCCAGTACTTACTGCTTCCTCCGGAACCACTGACAGTGGGAAACTATCATCCACAGAAGTGGTAGAAACATTGCTTCAAAATATGTTGCATGAAGCCCTACTACATAAACCAATTTCAACCCTCACAAATGCTCAGAGAAAGCTGGTGGGGTTTGTGTTCCTAGCAGCCCAACAGACATTGACTACTGCCTGGAGTCAATTATTTCTCAACTTTGCCAAGGTCCAACAATAGCTCATGGGGACTATGGTCCATGAGAAGCTCAAATCCATTCTTGAGGACTCTCACACAAAATTTTTGAAGGTCTGGGACACTTGGATTTCTTATAACACTTAATTGAACATTGACCAAACCCTACTTTAGATATGAGGACAACTGTCACCCACATATGTCATACCCAACAGGTGGTCCACATGGGACTATTCCCTGCTTTCCCTTCCCCTCCCCTTTCAACTCTCCTCTTTCACTCAGGCAAATATTCCTTCTGGTTCCCCCTTTATCCTTGGCTCTCTACTTTTTCCCCTTCCCTGTTGTCTATGTGCATTTCTTCGCTCCTTCATACTCTAAAATTTAGTCTTGGGCCTGATTGGCACCTTTTTCTCCCCCTTCCCTTAGAGGTATTCTTACCCAATGACATGGAGTACTACCCTATAGCAAAACAAGTATCCTCCTCTTTGAAGGTATCAACGATGCCCTTGGTGTCCTGATAACTGTAATACCTTGTCTCTACATATGATTGCTACTATAAAACGCATGTAGACTCCGAAATCCTCTGTTTTGCATTCTATTTTGTGTACTACTTTTGTATTTCTTGCCTTGTCTATAAAAGCCCAATAAAACTTTTGTGAAACAAAATATGTTGCTTGCCTCCGGTCAAACAGTGGACCAAACTTGTTACTCCTGATTAAAATGGTTTATTGCTCCTTGATCATATTTTCGGTTACAGATTATATAGGTTTGAGAGAAATAAAACTTACTAATAGACCAGAGAAAGGGATCAAAGCCAATCTTATCTCCAGATTTCCCCTCTTGCAGAATCCAGGACACCATGGCAGAAACTGACGCTGAAAACAATGATACAAAAACATTTCAGAATGTATTGTGTTGCCTTTCTATCATCTGGACCCAGATGGGTGTGCGTGAAAATCCCAGCAGATCAGCAGTTTTTGAAATACTCAGACCAGCCTATCTGGCATCAACAAACATGCCACATTCAAAGGCACTTAAATCCCCTTTCTTCCCCATTCTGATGCTCAGTTTGAACTTCAGCAAGTCGTCTTCACCACGTCTAGATGCCTAAATGCATTGAGTTGCTGCCTTGGGATTGGCTGATTAGCAGTTTGTGTTACCAAGCAACTGAACAGGTGGACCTAATAAAGTGACTTCTGAGTGTATATGTGAAGTAGAAGCTTGCTACACCTCCAGGTCATACAGATCACATTACTTCTAAAATCATGTTATCTGCTCCTCTCTCCAGAAGAACGCCGCCAATTTGTTCAGGCATCATCCAGGGTCACCATCTACTTCCTGGACTGAGATGCCCGCTCTGAGATGACGTAATATTTTATGCAAAAAAGTGTTCCTCTTTTGAAATAAACTAGAAATAATTTCTCCCAAGGGACCTAATCTCAAGACAAGAATCACATGTTCTGTGCCTACCAGCCTTGTGGACAGGGCTGGGACAAGGGGTGGACAGGAGGGAAGGATGCCCTGGGCGCTGTGGGTATCATGTGAGGTTGGCGGGGGCCACTACGAGGATATTAAGGTTGAGGGTATTTGTGTTGGGCTGGGGAATTGGGGGCGGCAGGGGGTTACAATTGTTTTAGGTGGAGAAATTTTTAGGAGTGTTGATTTCAGGGGATTTGTGTTGGAAGGGTTTGTGCTAGAAGAGCTAATAAGATAGAGGGGGGAGGCTAATTGTGCTAAGATGGGAAATTTTTGTTGGGGGGGGATTTGTGCTGGTAGGAATGATTGGGGGATATCTGTGCTAGGAATGTTTTTTTGGGGGGTCATTTGTGCTGGGGGGATTTGGGGGATTGGGGGGGGGCAAAGATCTGTGCTGGTAGATGGGGATTTTAGCAGGGGGGTGAATTCGTATTGGAGGGGGATTTATGCTTAGGGGGGTAAGCATGCAGATTAGTGCTCAATTTTTTTTGGAGGGGGGGAAATTTTTACGACCCCCAAACACACCTCCAAGACGACCACTGCCTTGCTAAAGAAGCTGAGGGTAAAGGTGATGGACTGGCCAAGCATGTCTCCAGACCTAAACCCCATTGAGCATCTGTGGGGCATCCTCAAATGGAAGGTGGAGGAGCGCAAGGTCTCTAACATCCACCAGCTCTGTGATGACGTCATGGAGAAGTGGAAGAGGACTCCAGTGGCAACCTGTGAAGCTCTGGTGAACTCTATGCCCAAGATGGTTAAGGCAATACTGGAAAATAATGGCAGCCACACAAAATATTGACACTTTGGGCCCAATTTGGAGATTGTCACTTAGGGGTGGACTCACTTTTGTTGCCAGCGGTTTAGACATTAATGAGTTATTTTGAGGGGACAAATTTACATGTTATACAAGCTGTACACTGACTACATCTCATTGTAGCAAAGTGTCATTTCTTCAGTGTTGTCACATGAAAAGATAGAATCAAATATTTACCAAAATGTGAAGGGGGGGGGGGCTCACTTCTAGGAGATACTGTAATTACAATATTTTTATGGCAGAAGTAAAAACTCACTGGATTTTTGCAACTCCCAATTGCAGTCAGATCAATGTACTTACCAGCCCTGTAAGTTTAGGTGTTACATTTCAATCTAGCATTAAGTAAAATCTGACATTTTGCCAGTTTTTGGGCAATATTACAGGTTCTCTTGACAGTCCATTGATTACCTGCGGCACACTTCGCTGATGCTTCATTCTCAAGTTGGAGCTCTTGGAAATACCCAGCACTTCCAGGTATGGGGGAGCATGTGACCTTCTCCCCTTCCCCCCAAAATGCAATGTTTGGACCTGAGTGGCTATTTCCCACACCTGAACACAGTCACATGGCAGCTTCAACACCAATTAGGTTGCTAGTTGTTCCTTTACTAACCACTAATGTAACCATTAATGTAAAGGGAATTCTTCCTCCAATTGTCTACCAATCTGAGGGTCCATATCCCTCTGACCATAATAAAAATGGAGCACTTGATCAATGACTACCATAGTAAGGGGAAGCCTTCTTCATTGACCACTAATATAAAGGACATTCTTTCTCCAACTTTACACCAATGGTATCCCTTGTCCCACTGACCATAAATGTATGGAAGATCCTTCTTCACTGACCATCAATGTGGAGCACTACTGACCACCAATGTAAGGGGATGCCTTCTCCACTGATCACTAATGTTAAGGACATTCTTCCTCCAACTATCCACCAATGGTATCCCTTGTCCCACTGACCATTGACCACTAATATAAACGACATCCTTTCTCCAATGGTATCCCTTGTCCCACTGACCATAAATGTAAGGAAAGCCCTTCTTCAATGTCCATCAATGTGCAAAACTACTGACCCCCAATGTAAAGGGAAGCCTTCTCCACTGATAAATATGGTAGAGGATGTTCTTCTCCCAGTTATCAACCAATGGCATCCCTTGTCCCACTGATTATAAATGTGAGGAGGACCCTTCTTCATTGACCATCTACTTACCTGTAATCCAGTGGCAACCTGTGAAGCTCTGGTGACCTCCATGCCCAAGAGGGTTAAGGCAGTGCTGGAAAATAATGGCGGCCACACAAAATATTGACACTTTGGGCAAAATTTGGACCTTGTCACTTAGGGGTGGACTCACTGTTGTTGCTCGTGGATTAGACATTAATGGCGGTGTGTTGAGTTATTTTGAGGGGACAGAAAATTTACATGTTATACAAACTGTACACTGACTACGTCACATTGTAGCAAAGTGTCATTTCTTCAGTGTTGTCACATGAAAAGATAGAATCAAATATTTACAAAAATGTGAGGGGTGGACTCACTTCTGGGAGATACTGTATATGTATATATATATGTATACATATACATTGTATTCAGTCCGGGGGAGGGGTGGACTCACTTGTGGGAGATACTGTAATTGCAATAATTTTTATGGCAGAAGTAAAAGCTGACCGGATTTTTGCAACTCCCAATTGCAGTCCATCTGACGCTCGGCCTGGGTCCAGTAACGACTGTCGGTGAACAAGGCTGCTCTTGTCATTGTGACCACCGCATCCCCTAAAATGAAAAAAAAAATCATATTATATTTTATGCTATGGAAGTGTATGTGTAGTCAAAACTTTTTACATTTTTGAATAGAGTAGGAAAGTGTTATAACCCCTGCCAGGTTATTCCCTGCTGTCTGTGCACCATTGTGGAAATTTCCCTTCACTTCCTGTCGCAAAGATCCAGCGGAAAGTTAGAGGAAATCAGGTGGATTCTCCTCTTAAACAATTCTCTCAGTTGAAAGAGTTTCCCCGCTCATCTCTTATTCTAGGGGGGACACTATGATTTTAGATTTCCTCTCTCTTTCTCCCTTTCTTAATGAACAGTCTTTGCAAAATGTGTCTAAAAAATGTTTTCGTATTAATTATGACCAGGGCTTTTATTCAGCAGGAACGCAGGGGAGCGCAGACCCGGCACCTCCCGCACTGAATGTATGTAATCACAAGGGGTGCCGAGATGTGCTACAGGGTCTATTGTTGCTGGCTGCTGGGGGACCTATTGTCCAGAGAGAATCAGTTGTTGCTGGGAGAGAAACTGGGAGAGTGCCTGCTGTTGCTGGTTGATGGAGGATCTATTGATGCTGGCTGCTGGGAGATCTATAGTTGCTAGAAGGGTCTATTGTTGCTGGAGGGTTTATTGTGGTTGGAGGAGTCTGTTGTTGCTGGTTGATGGAGGATCTATTGATTCTGGCTGCTGGGAGATCTATTTATGCTGGCTGCTGGGAAATCTATTGTTGCTAGAGGGGTCTGTTGTGGATGTAGGGGTTTATTGTGGCTGGACTGGGTTATTGTTGCTGGTTCATGGAGGATCTATTGATATTGGCTGCTGGGAGATGTATTTGCGTGGGCTGTTGGGAAATCTGTTGTTGATAGAGGGGCCTATTGTTGCTGGAGGGGTCTGTTGTTGCTGGTTGATGGAGGATCTATTGACGCTGGTTGCTGGGAGATCTATTGATGCTGGCTGCTGGGAGATCTATTGATGCTGGCTGCTGGAGATCTATTGTTGCTAGAGGGGTCTATTGTGTCTGTAGGGTTTATTGTGGCTGGATGGGTATATTGTTACTGGTTGATGGAGGATCTATTGATGCTGGCTGCTGGGAGATCTATTTATGCGGGCTGTTGGGAAATCTATTGATGATAGAGGGGTCTATTGTTGCTGGAAGGTTTTATTGTGGCTGGAGGGTCTGTTGTTGCTGGTTGATGGAGGATCTATTGATGCGGGCTGTTGTGAGATCTATTTATGCTGGTTGCTGGGAGATCTATGGTTGATAGAAGGGTCTACTGTGGCTGTAGGGGTTTATTGTGGCTGGAAGGGTCTGTTGTTTTTTGTTGATGAAGAATCTATTGATGCTGGCTGCTGGGAGATCTATTTATGCTGCCTGTTGGGAAATCTATTGTTGCTGGAGGAGTCTATGTTGCTGGAGGGGCTTATTGTGGCTGGAGGGATCTGTTGTTGCTGGTTGATGGAGGAACTACTGATCCTGGCTGCTGGGAGATCTATTTATGCGGGCTGGTGGGAATCTATTGTTGATAGGGGGGTCTATTGTTCCTGGAGGAGTTTATTGTGGCTCGAGGGATCAGTTGTTGCTGGGAGAGAAACTGGGAAGGGTCTGTTGTTGCTGGTTGATGGAGGATCTATTGATGCGGGCTGCTGGAAGATCTATTTATGCTGGCTGCTGGGAGACCTATTGTTGCTAGAGGGGTCTATTGTGGCTGGAGGAGTCTGTTTGTTGCTGGTTGATGGAGGATCTATTGATGCTGGCTGCTGGGAGATCTATTTATGCTGGCTGTTGGGAAATCTATTGTTGATAGAGGGGTCTATTGTGGCTGTAGGGGTTTATTGTGGCTGGAGGGTGCCTGTTGTTGCTGATTGATGGAGTACTATTAATTCTGGCTGCTGAGAGATCTATTTATGCGGGCTGTTGGGAAATCTATTGTTGATAGAGGGGTCTATTTTTTCTGAAGGGGTTTATTATGGCTGGAGGGGTCTGTTGTTGCTGGTTGATGGAGGATCAATTGATGCTGGCTGCTGGGAGATCTATTTATGCGGGCTGTTGGGAAATCTATTGTTGATAGGGGGGGTCTATTGCTGCTAGAGGAGTTTATTGTGGCTCGAGGGATCTGTTGTTGCTGGGAGAGATACTGGGAGGGTGCCTGTTGTTGCTGGTTGATGGAGGATCTATTGATGCTGGCTGCTGGAAGATCTATTTATACTGGCTTCTGGGAGATCTATTGTTGCTAGAGGGGTCTATTGTGGCTGAAGGGGTATGTTGTTGCTGGTTAATGGAGGATCTATTGATGTGGGCTGCTGGGAGATCTATTGTTGCTAGAGGTGTCTGTTGTGGCTAGAGGGTTCTGTTGTTGCTGGTTGATGGAGGAACTACTGATGCTGGCTGCTGGGATATATATTGTTGCTAGAGGGGTCTATTATGGCTGGAGGGGTTTATTGTGGCTGGAGGGTTCTATTGTTGCTGGTTGATTGGGGAATCTCTTGATGCTGGCTGCTGCTGGAGATCCATTGATGATACATCATCAGTAGCTGGCTGCATCCAGAAGGAGCAGCCAGCTGAAGAGGACCAAACGCTGGTGCGGGATCTGATGTATGTCATCAGAACAGTGGACTGCAGAGGGACAATGCTGGATTCACTGTGCCAGTAAGTATCTGTCTGGAAGAGAACAAAGTACTACAGGAAAGAGGGGGAAACAAATGGCTGGGAGTTGAGTACCACTTTGGGTCATCAAGCCAAAAAATACAACCTGATGGATGGACTGATAATTTAGAGTCCAGAGCTTCACATCTACTTTTCCATGAACTTGGTATAGTCTGGGCCTGTTTTATACTTGTTTGGCTTCTATCCTCTTCATGGTGGAATGGTTTTTCTTTATCGTGACCATTGTGATTGCCTCTCCTAGCAGGCACATGGTCGGGAGTCACCATCTCTTGGCTCCCCATCAGAAGCCTTGTCCAAGATCTGTGAGAGCTTGCAGTGTGCTGGGAATGCGCTCAGACTGGCGTGGATGCCTATGTGCGGCGGCTGGGCGTTAAAGTCCACTTTTCCTGGCACTGCATATATGCGTTACGCAGAGGTTAACACAGAGATAATGACATTTCTAACACGAGTTAACAGACCTAATGTTACCCCAAGTAATGTTGTTAATTTAATTCTCATTTTTTGCATATCTTATACAGTATCTGAGCATTTTCATGGTCAGAATTGACGATCGGCATGTTTGTTCCAGGATCAATGATGTAATGGAACTGTTCAGATGAACTCTAGATGCACATAGACTTCAATTTCATCCTCTGCGATCACATCAGATAACTTTGTTAAAGATGAACATTCTTCTTTAAGTTACAGAAGAATTCCAGCCATTTATATAAACCCATGACCATAAACCGGTAATTCTCTCTTATGACGTCAATCATTTACCAACTTTCTTCTGAACTGGAGAAAATATTTATGAAGAGTGCAAAGTCAATTAAAAAAGATTCTCTGAGAGATAAAATGAAGACGAATAATTTATAACATGATTTCTCACCTGGCCAGTAAGTCTGTTATTGTGAAACTTCTTTCAACCCCTTGCCTACCAGGCACTTATACCAGACCAAGCTGACCAGCAAAAGTCTGAGCCGTCTTCAACCACTTGCCTACCGGGCCGACTTATACCAGACCAAGCTGACCAGCAGCAAGGTCTGAGCCGTCTTCAACCACTTGCCTACCGGGCACTTATACCAGACCAAGCTGACCAGCAAAAGTCTGAGCCGTCTTCAACCCCTTGCCTACCGGCACTTATACCAGACCAAGCTGACCAGCAAAAGTCGGAGCCTTCTTCAACCCCTTGCCTACCGGGCACTTATATCAGACCAAGCTGACCAGCAAAAGTCCGAGCCGTCTTCAACCCCTTGCCTACCGGGCACTTATACCAGACCAAGCTGACCAGCAAAAGTCTGAGCCGTCTTCAACCCCTTGCCTACCGGGCACTTATACCAGACCAAGCTGACCAGCAAAAGTCTGAGCCGTCTTCAACCCCTTGCCTACCGGGCACTTATACCAGACCAAGCTGACCAGCAAAAGTCGGAGCCGTCTTCAACCCCTTGCCTACCGGGCACTTATACCAGACCAAGCTGACCAGCAAAAGTCCGAGCCGTCTTCAACCCCTTGCCTACCGGGCACTTATACCAGACCAAGCCGACCAGCAAAAGTCCGGAGCCGTCTTCAACCACTTGCCTACCAGTCACTTATACCAGACCAAGCCGACCAGCAAAAGTCTGAGCCGTCTTCAACCACTTGCCTACAGTGCACTTATACCCCCTTCCTGCCCAGGACAATTTTCAGCTTTCGGCGCTGTCACACTTTGAATGACAATTGCGCGGTGATGCAACACTGTACCCATATGAAATGTTTATCAATTTTTTGAAACAGACAGAGCTTTCTTTTGGTAGTATTTAATCACCTCTGGGATTTTTTATTTTTTGCTAAACAAACCAAAAACAATTGAAAATTTTGAAAAAAAAAAAGTTTTTTCTTAGTTTTTGTTATTAAATTTTGTAAAGAAGTGATTTTTCTCCTTCACTGATGTGCGCTAATGAGGCTGCACTAATGGGCACTGATAGGCTGCACCGATGGGCACTGATAGGTGGCACTGATGGGCACTGAGGCGGAGGCACTGGTAGGTGGCACTGATGGGCATTGACAGGCATCACTGATGGGTACTGAAAGGCAGCACTCACATATGGCAAATCCGACACAGCGAACACTTTTCTCCTGTGCTGGGAATGGACTCTGAGGAAGAGGCTGTGCCCTCAAACCGCGTTAGCCAGTTGATCATCCAGGGTTCCATTGTATGGACTCAGCTGCTGTTTGGATCGAACTTCTTGTTCGGTGTGATATGCCTGTGTTTTTATGTCCATTGTGAGTATGATACTTACTTTGTTCTTTCAATAAATACTTTTAAACGATAATGCACTAGGTCAGTGCGCCCTCTTTTTGTTTTTCCATTTGCAAGCACTCA